GCTCAGGCTGGTCTCGAACTCCTGAGCTCAAACGATCCACCCGCCTCGGCCTCCCAGAGAGCTAGGATTACAGGCATGAGCCACCGCGCCCGGCCGACTTTATTATTTTTTTAAAATAACACGAATTTTTTGATGATCCCAGGACAGTGATCTTGCAGAGGGTCCGGAGGGTCCCATTTCTGGGCTTGTCTGATTGTTTCCTCGTGGGATCATTGAAACTGGAACTTAGTACTAGAGGCTTGATTCTATTCTGGGTTCTGGGGAAACACCTTTTTCTTTTAATTGATAAAATAAGATAAAACATTTACCGTTTTAACCATTTTTAAGTGTTACAGTTCAGTGGTATTAAACATATTCACATTGTTGTGCAACCATCACCACTATCCATTTCTAGAACTTTCATCTTGCAAAACTGAGACTCTGTCCCCATGAAGCACTAACTCCCATCCCCCTCCCCCAGGCCCTGGCGACCACCATTCTGCTTTCTGTCTCTGTGAGTGTAACTATTCCAGGTACCTCAAAGCAGGTACTTTGTCCTTTTTTGACTGGCCCTGCACAATGTCTCTGACAAGAGGTCCCCCGAGGTACGGTTGTGCCCTTCAGACTGTGTCCTCAGCTGTGTGGGCCTTTGCACTTGCTGTTTCCTCCCTGGCAGGCTCCTTCCTGTCTTCCGGATTTCAGCTCAAACGTCACCCTCTCCGGGTGGCCCTTCCTAACTGCCCTACCCCAAGCTGCTTCCCCGTGATCACCGTCTGTTCTCTGTTTCATGCTCTTCCCGTCGCTTCTCCCAGCCTGTAATGACCTTGTTTGCCCTTTGCCAGTTTTCTCTCTCAAAGGCAAACTCCATGAGGGCAGGGACCGCTGCTCTCCTGCCCACGGCTGTGTCCCCGGGCCCCTGGCAGCACACTTGCAACATTTGCTTGTAGGTGCTTGTGTGAGCTCCCTCTGGCTGCTCCAACAAATTGCTACAAACTCAGTGGCTTAAAACAACCCAAATTCATTACTGGATAGTTCAGGAGGTCAGAATTCCTAAATCAGTCCCGGGGGACTAAAATCCAGGCGTGGAAGGATGTGCTCCCTCCCGGGGCTCTGGGGAGAATCGGTTTCCTCGCCTCTTCCAGTTTCTGGAGTCCACCTGCCTCCCTGGGTTCGTAATCCTGTACTCGGACCTGTGCGCTGTCATCCCACCCATCCTGGCTCTGACACACTGCCTCCCTCTCGTAATGGCCCTGCGACCTCACTGCACCCATCCAGAGAGCCCAGAAATCTCCCTTACGATCCTTCCTTACCTTAATCACATCTGCAAAGCACTTTTTACCATGTAGGGTAACATATTCACAAGTTTTGGGGGGTAAGAAAAGGAAAATTTGGGGGGAACAATAATCCCCCCAACAAAAGGCCAAAAAAAAAATTGGCCAAAGAAAGGAAGAAACAAGGAAATGGATGTGTCCCCTTTACGAACGGAGTCCCGAGTTCTGAGTTCCAGGCCTGGCTAAGCCGCTGTGTGACTGAGTAAACCTGGGCAAGTCCCCTCTCTCTCTGAGCCTGGGGTCCTCCTTCCTTAGATACGTTCTGAGCACCCACCCGGTCCTCAGAGGGCCCTGGGAACGCCAAGGAAAGACGAAAGGAGACCCCAGCCCATAGAGAGCTTAGAATTTGGTTTCTGGGGAGGGGCCGGAGAAAGAGAAAAACTGCCACAGTCTTCCCAGGGCCACATTCCAGGTCCCTCAGAGAGTTTGAAGTCCTGAAGGGATGTGCTTACCAAGGAGGTGACATTTCAAAGGGTTCTTGACGCATGCGTAGGAGTTTATGAGGTAGAGGTGTGGAAAGTGACATTCAAGGCCAAGACAGGCCGCAGACCTCTTTGAGGAACTGCGAGGAGTGTGGTGTGAGCCCTCAGGGGAGGCAGATCACGGGGGATGGGTCTGTCTGGAAAGGTGGCCTCAAAAGCCACAGTGCCTGGGCTCTGCCCGGGGGGTTAATAGGGAGCCACAGCAGGGTTTTGAAGCAGGAGAGAGCATGTGCAGCTTTGAGCCTGGACCACTCACTCTGACTACTGCCATGTGAGGAGGGGATCGGGGTGGCCAGCAGCCTACGGAGATGGCCTGGGCTCAGCAGGGACAGCAGGGATGGAGACAAGGGGACAGATCCGAGGGAGATTCAGGAAGTAGAATCGCTGGGACATGGGATAGACAGGGAAGGGGGAGGGCGAGCGGGGAAGGACACGGGTGTTCTTCACACACCGTTGAATGAACCACGAACTGGCCCCCGCTGGGACCTTGCGAGAAGCCCCGGAAGAGGCCGGTGACAGGGCAGAGAGACCAGCCCCATGGGTTCGCGGGTGCCTGTCCCTTTGAAGAGAGATCATGGTGCCGGTCGTCCAGGAAGCAAGACGGGGCTTGATGCCAGGCCGGGGCTGGTCCACGTGGACGTGGTCCGAGGGCGTGTCCGTGGACTGAGGTCCGTAGGGAGGCTGTGAAACGGTCTCCCCCATTTCCAGATGGGAACACCACGTCCCAGAGATCTCTGGTGACATGGCCAAGGCCACGCAGCGAGTAGACCCCAGGGACCAGGGGCCTCCAAGAGGGGGATTTTGCTGGTCTCTCGAGACCCACGGGGGAGGACAGGGTGGGGGGGCCCCTCTGAGTGGTTCCCCCACCAAAGAGAATTTCTCCAGTTTGGAGGAAGTGGGAGTTCTCCTTTTGCGATGTGAATGTCAGAGATTCTGGGCTCCCCAGTGACTAAGAGGTGTATGAGGCTTGTGGGTGGAGGGAGTACTTAAATACAGGTCTTCCTGTCCTCCGAGACTGAAGACACCTGGGCTGGGACACACAGGACGGAGCATGGCCAGCCTGCGGACCCCGCTCCTAGTGGCCCTCGTCCTCCTTGCGGTGGCACTTCAAGCAACTGAGGCAGGTGAGGCAGGGGAGTGGGAGAGGCCAGGGCTGGACACTCAGGTGTCTTCCTCATGTCATGGAAGAGCAACTGGACTGAGAGCAGAAGATCCCAGTCTGCCATCAGCTCTTGCGGCCTTGGGCTAGTCTCAGCGCTTCTCCGGGGCTCAGTTTACACATCTGTTCAATGGGTAGACTGGAAGGCTTGGAGGCTAGGATCTGTCTCAGCTGGGCTAGAGGGTTGTAGTGTTTCCTCCCCCAGAGAACTTGAGCACAGGGCCCTTGGGGGATGGATGAGGCACCCGAGGGGCAGGCCTGAGTTGGGGAGGCAGAGGCTGGGTAAGGGATCCTCCCCTGGAAATCTGGGCCTGCCTTCCCCCCATCCATCTTTGCTCCAAACCTGTCCTCAACATTGGATTCCTGTCTCCTCACCCTGTTGTAAACTTCTTCTTTGTGTTGGGTAGAGGATGAGCACTGGAGTGGGAGTCAGGCAGCTATGAGCAATAATTGCTCCAAGTTCCATGCATTGGAGACCCCTGTAAGTCGATACTGTTATTAAACCCTTGGTCAGAGTAGGAAATTGGGCCTCAGGGATGTTGAATGATTTGGCTGGGGTGGCCCAGTGACGCATGGCTGAGCAGGATTCAAACTCAGATCTCTAAGCCTTGGTCCTGACTCTGCCACATTCTTGCTGTGTGACCCTGGGCAAGTGCCTCTCCCTCTCTGGACTGCAGCCTCACCAGTGCACAGGGGGGTCAGAGTAGATGTGAGCGGAAGCAGACTGCCCAAACATTCCGCTACGGATCACCAGGCAGCTTGTCAGAATGCACGAGGGATGCAGCAAGCCAGGGTGGGCCCGGTGGTTCTGACGAGCTCCCAGGCCACGCCAAGGCTGCTGGTCCGTGGACCTCACTTTGAGTAGCTGTGAGTCCCGCCCAGGTGCTGAGGGTTGTTGATGCTCAGTCGTTCTGAGTCACCATCACTGGAGCTGACTGTCCCAGAGCGTACGCATTGGGCCCCTCGTGGCTTTTCAGAGACCCCCAGGGTAGGGACTTTGTGGGCCTAGAATCTTCTGGTCACTGTCCTTACGTAGGAGGACACGAGAGCTGCGTCTCTTCCCTGGAGCCTGGAGGGCCCAGGGTCAGGGGTTGGGATCGAGGGCGACCTCTCTGTGCTCCAGCTTATGAATTCTCTGGGCACCCCCTGCCCCCAGGCCCCTACGGTGCCAACGTGGAGGACAGCGTCTGCTGCCGGGACTACCTCCAATGGCCCCTGCCCCTGCGTATGGTGAAATATTTCTACTGGACCTCGGACTCCTGCCGGAGACCTGGCGTGGTGTGAGTAGGGCGCTGGGGCCACAGGGCCTCAGAGGGCTTGACAGGTGTGGCCTGGGATGGCCCAGGTGCAGGTGGGTGGGACAGACCCAGGGATGCGGGGAATGCGGCTGGGTTTCCGGATGCCAGCGGGAGGGCTTGGCTAGAGGATCGACGGCTCGGCCCGGACTCGAGGGTACCAAGAACAAAAATAACGTGATCGTTCAACAAATAATGTGATCATTATCGGGCACCCACTCTGTGCCAGGCAACGTGCCAGCTTGTGAGAATGCAGAGCGGAGTGGACAGGGCGCCACCAGCGTGGGCACGGCCGTGCAGGCAGTCCACAGCTGTCAGGGTGTGTGCCTGGTGCCACTGAGTCGGCAAAGATGCTCGCCCCAGAAGCATCTTGGATCCTCCCCAGGCCCCTGGGCGTCCTGTGAGGCAGCCCGTTTTGACCGGAAGAACACTGAGAACTCGAATTTACAGAGTGCTTCCGGCATGCCGGGCGCTGTTCTGATCGTTACCTGTGTTAACTCGTCTAATTTTCGCAATAGTCCTTTGAGGAGGTTCAAATGTTCCCATTGCATAGATGGAGAAACAGGCCGAGCCGGGGAAGTGACTTGCTCAGCGTCACCCAGGCTGGAACCACAACTCACTCCCGGGTCCTTGTTCAGGGCTTTCTCCTGAGTCTCTTGTTCTCTTTGCTTCTTTCTCTTGCTTTTTTTTCCTTCCTTTTCCCTGGCCTAGGGCCTGTGCCCGTGCCTGGCTGGGGGACGGAACCTGTCCTCTCTGTGGCAGCCCCTCTGGCTGCTTCTCCAGCACCTCTGAGCCTGCTGCCCACCAGATCACACACCGGGGGAGTTTGGGTTTGGGGACCCATGACCCCGTTGGGGCTCTGTCATCTTCTTGTCTTCCTCCTCCCTGCCGACTCCATCCCTTAGCTGCAGGTGCTTAACAAAGACGGCCAAAGCGGGAGCCCTCCCAGGGTTCTTGTCGCTCTAACACTGAGCCTTGGTGTCCCCAGCAGGATGATGGAGTCACACCCTTTATTTATTTGCATCTATCAAACACACAGAGAGCGCCTGGCCCTGCTGTAGGCACTTCATTAATACCAACTCATTTGATCCTGAAACAATCCCACGCAGCTGGTACTGTTACCATCCCCTTTTCACAGATGAGGAAATGGCGCAGAGAGGTTAAAGGGTCTCTTGACCATCACAGGGCACCGTACCAGTAAGTGGAGGGAACCCCTTCTCTGTCCGCTGCAGCCAGAGGGGCCACACTCTAGCACATGATAGATGCTCACTGAAAGCACATGCGTGATCATCGGATTTTGAGCCAGAAGGGACTCTAGAAAGAATATGGCTTGATAAATGGGGGGATGGAAGCTCAGGGAGGAGCGGAGTGTTGTCCAGTGATCACAGTGGGGGCGGGGCACGTTGTCCACGTGGCTGAGATCAGCACTGCTGTTTTCTGTGTCCCTTCTGTTTCTTCGTCAGGAGATGAGGCAGCAGGAGCTCCTGGGCCCTGTGGACAGGCTCTTGAGAGGCCAGAGGGAGTCCCTGGGTGGGGCATGGCTCTGCCCACCAGCCAGCCCTGAGCCCACTCTTGCCAAGAGCAGTCACGTGCCCAGGACCTGGCCTGGTGTTTTCTGCAGCTGGGTGAGGGTAGGAGCCTTAGCCCACAACTTGCCGCGTGGTCTTGGGCCCATGTGCAACTCGCCTCTCTGTGCTTCAGCGCTCGCAGAGCAGTCTGTGGGGGAGACATGAGCTCCCAAGATGCTGCCCCCCGAGAGTCTGGGTTCACAGCAGGCACAGCGCAGTCAAATCTCACCAGCTCTGGCCCTTGGGCAGGTTGCTTTATCTCTCTGGGCCTCAGTTTACTTAGCTATAAAATGAGTAGAATAATAGGGCCTCAGAGGGTTGTTGCAAGGATTTATTAAGAAAATCAATGTAAAAGGTTCACGCCAGCTTCTGGCATAACTATAGAGCACCTACTATGTGCTGTGGCACTTAGTAGTGTATAGTTTTCTGAGCACTTCAGTGTGTACTAATTCATCAAATCTTCATCAAAATCCTGTGAGACTGGGCAATGCTTATCATCCCCATTTTACAGATGTGGCAACTGAGGCCCAGAGAAGGTAAGCAACTTGCTAACAACTGGCAGAGCTAGAATTTGAACCCAGATAGGCTGGCTCCAAAGTCTACAACCTTGGCCATTTTCTTTCCCAAGGCAATGTCAGTGATATTACAAAACTCCTGGGGATTCTATTCCATGGCCTGACCTGGCACTCAAGTCTGGGACTGAGGGTTCTGGAAATCCTTGCTGCTCATCTCCCTCTTGAGAAATATGCTTTGCATACAGCAGGTGGCTCATAAATTTTGAATGACTTTATATAGCAGGTGACTCATAAATGCTGAGCTGTGCATACATTAGGTGGCTCATAAATGCTAAGCTCCCGGGGTGTTGTGGCATCCTTGCTGCATGTGGATGCTGCTGCATTTTCTCCCTGGTGTCTCCTCCTTGCAGCTTGCTAACCACCAAGAACCGGGAGATCTGTGCTGACCCCAGGCTGTCCTGGGTGAAGAAGATTCTCAAGAGGCTGGACCAATGAGGAGGGGCCCTGCTCTGATGACCGTGGCCCTGGCTCCTCCAGGAAGGCTCACGCAGCCCCACCTCCCTGCCGTTACAGCTGCTCCCTAACAGAAGCCTGCGCCAACGACTCCCTCTGCATTCCTGATCTGCATCCCTGCAGCTGTCGCCCTCAGTCAGGCCTCCACACTGTCACTCCTAACTCCCCTCTGACCCCTTCACCCCACCCTGTGCCCCATGCAGCCACGGGGTCCACATTCCAGTCAGTCACTCCCTTGCTCAACATCCTTCCATGGCTCCCCACTGCCCTAAGCTGAGGTCAGAGCTCCTGGGCTTGGCACCCCAGCCCTCCACATCTGGGTCCCATCCCTATCTCTAGCCTTGCCCCCTTCCCGGCATGCATGCTGGGCTCCAGCTCCCTGTTCTCCAAACCCACGCCCTACATTTGCCCGAGATGCTGCTGACACCCAGGAAGTCCTTCCCACCACCAGCACGTGGCGACCCTCACCAGCCCTCCAAGGCGTCGCTCAGCCCAAGCAGTCAGTGATCAAGTTTCACGTTTTAGACTTGCCCTGGCCCTCTGGCCCCTCTTAACAGCCCTAGTCACAGTCTGCCTGGATTCCTGTGACTTGGGAACTTGTCCTCCAGCCCCCTTGGTTGGACCAAGTTTCCCGTCTGAGTTGCTCTGGTTTCTGGGCCTCCAGCGTAGAGCAAGGGCGCTGGTTCAGAACCACAGCCTGCAAGTGGCTGCAGACTGAACCAGCACAACTACCGTCCTTCCCCTCTCCTCCCCCACGGAAGGCACTTACATATCCACGCAGAGACTCAAGGTCACGAGCAAGGGGCAGCTGGGTGAATGTCTAAGCCCCAAATCTGCCGAGATTCCCTTTCTTCCACATGTGACCTATACCTTGGATCTCTCTACCCTTCTTCCTCCCTTGGGCCTTTGGGGGTCCTCCCACCCCAACACCCAGGCCTGGCCCCTTCCGCATACTCCTCCCCTGCACAGCTGATAACCTGATCCTTGCCAAGGCTTGAGTGAATGACCGCTCCAGTTGGTGTTATAAGCTCCGATTCTATTTGCATATGAAAACCGAGTAAATACTTAAGAGGCCAAATGGCTCAATGGAAGAATTTTAGCAACTGTTGGGGCGTGTGGGGGACAAGGGGGAGATTTTCCAGCCCTGGGGGGAAGCTGGCTGTGGGGGGGTAGCCTGTGTGCTGTGGGGGGTGCAGTTACCTGAAGGAATCTGGGTGGAGACTGTTCACAGGTGGTTGGGGCCCAGTGAAAGACTGGCATTTGGGACTTACCTGTGCCTCCCTGGGGACAGCAGTGTCCCAGGTAAAGAAACAAACTGTACACGTGCTTTCTCCTTTCTGAGGGAGCCTGGTGCAGCTCAGGTTGGAGCTGTGTGGCCCCGAGGAGACCGTGTCACCTCTCTGAGCCTCACCTAACAAATGAGAATGAGAATGAGAATGTCCACCTTCCAGGCTTGCCCTGGGGTCAGGTCGAAAGGGTGGGGAATGACACTTTGCCAAGGCACACCGCTCAGCGTCTTCCAGGGCCCGTGTCTCTCCTGGAGTCCAGGGTCACCTGCCTGTCACAGGCACCGGAAGTGCAAACCTGTCCACTGCCCATGAATGGGGACCTCAAGGGTCCTGGGATCTCTGTCCCCTCCTGTCCTGCCCCTGCCCCTCAGGACTTCTGGAAAATAAATCTTTTAAAATAGCGTCTGCTTTGGTTCCCTGGTGTCTTCTGTCTCTGAGAGATGGGGCGGGGGGCAACCATGGTCCCCTCTCTCCCAGTGGGGAAGCTTTGACATTGAAACAGGAGGTGATCTGCCCAAGGTCACTTTGTGCGTGGGAGGGAGCCAGGACTGGACACAAGAACCTGGGAGGCAGCCGCACAGGTGCTAACAGGGAAACCCAGACATTTGCCCCAGAGTTCCCAGCCCACCCTGGGGCCAGCTGCCAGGAGGATTTGATGAAACCATTCAGTCCCCAGGTCTAGAGGTTTCAGCAGCATATTCATTCAATAACCCAACTGTAGCCCTTCCCTTTCAAAGATAGACTGTGGAGAAAAGGAGAGAGTTAGCCAGGAAGAGGCGCTCCTCCCTTCCACCCACGTGACGTTGGTGGAATGCGGTCACATCCCATGGCCGCCCTGACCGCAAGGGATGCTGGGAAACATAGCCACACCGGGTGTCCAGGACGAAGAGGACGCGGGCGTGGGGGCACCTGGTGCTGAACTCCCTGGGCTCTTCAATTTCTTATGGGCTCAGCCCACTCTCCCGGAGTTCCTGGACACAGCTCCCTCTGCCAAGACGACAACAAAGGACCCTGTGCCCTCCAGGTGTCTTCATTGTGTCCCATCCGTTCCATGGACATCGCGTCACAAGTGGCTTTTGTTCCTCTTTATCTCTTGATCTGCCAGTGGAATTTCCAGGGCAGTAGCTCCAGACACCCAGAGCCCTGGACTGGGACCAGGAAGAAGCCCAGACAAGGACTAACCGCTGTTTCATAAAACCAGCCACGTTTTGGAAATTGGAGAACCTCTTGCAGTGGGGATTGTCAAAGTCCCGGCTCTGTCTGTCTCACGGGTGATGGGCGGGGCTGACCTGGAGGGAACAGGGGTGTGGAGTCAGACAGAGGTAGAGTCTCTCCCCGGCTGGGTGTCTGGAGCAAGTTGCTTTGTCCCTAGGAACCTCAATTTCTCTACCCCTGTGAACAAGGGGTAACAAAGCACATGGCAGTGCGTGTGGCTGTGAGAATCTGATGAGATAAGAAGGTACAGACCACCCAATAACAAAATGGGCAAAGGATTTGGGCAGGCATTTCTCAAAAGAGATATTCAAATGGCGAATAAGCATATGAAAAGATGCTCAGCCTCACTAATTACTGGAGAAACGCAAATCGAAACCACAATGAGATAGCACTTCACACACATTAGGGTGGCTATTCTATAGCTATGTATACACAAAGAAAAAATATATATGTGCAGAAAATATAGAGAAAATAATAAGTGTTGGCAAAGACATGGAGAAATTGGAACCCTGTGCATTGTTGGTGGGAATATAAAGTTGTTGCGGCTGCTATGAAAAATGGTATGTCAGTTCCTCAAAAAATTAAACAGAATTGCCATACGATCCAGCTATTCCACTTCCGGATATATACACAAAAGAATTGAAAGCAGGGTTTCAAACCGATATTTGTACACCCACGTTCATAGCAAGATGCTTCACAATAGCCAAAAGATGGCAACAACCCAAGTATCCATAAGTAGATGAATGGATGAACAAAACGTGGCATACAAGGTCTGTCTGGAAGGTATCCAGCCATGGTTAATACAACAAGAACGGTTAGGGAGACATCAATGTAACGTGGCAGCCAAGGAGAGTGGAGTGGGACGCGCACGGGTGAACAATGACAACGTCACTGTCCTAGTCCATGGGCATTAGACGCCGTTGAGTGAGCATGTGTCCTGTGTGGCTGTCACATGCAAAATGACTGAACGAGTAGAGCAACGATTCTGCATCAAATTTTGCTTTAAGCTTGAACATTCTCTCGCGGAAACTATTCGGATGATTCAGAAGGCTTTCGGGGACGATGCAATGAGCGCAGCACAAATGAAAGTGTAGCACAAACGCTTCAGAGATGGTCGAGGATCTGTTGAAAGTGATCCACGTTCTGGAAGGCCTGCAACAAGCAGAACACCTGAGAAAGCTGAACGTGTACGGGCTGTAATCAACAAAGACCAGCGACCAACAGTGCGAGAACCAGAAGCTCATCTGGGGATTCCAAGAACTACTGAGTCCAAGGTTTTGACGCAGGGTCTTGGCATGACATGTATCGTGGTAAAATGGGTTCTGTGGCTTCTGCTACCAGAGCAGAAGGAACATCGTGCTGCATTTGCTAATGACTTGCTTCAAACCGCCACCAATGAACCAGATTTCCTCAAGGTCACAGCTGGAGATGAATCGTGTGTCTATGGTTATGATCTGGAAACGAAGGCCCAGTCATCCCAATGGAAGTCACCTGGTTTTCCACACCTGAAGAAGGTGCAGCAAAGTCGCAGCGAGATCAAGACCGTGTTAACCATGTTTTTTGATTGGGAAGGTGTTGTCCATCACGACAAACAATAAGGAGTACCACCTCAGTGTTCTGAGTACCACCTCAGTGTCAAGAGATTCAACTTGACCAAAACAGCCGCAGCTATGGGCAACTGGTGACTGATAGCTTCATCATGACAATGCTCCTGGCCATGCGTCAGATCTACCGCAGAGTTTTAGGCAAAACATCAAATCGCCTAGGTGACTCAGCCCTGCTACAGCCCAGATTTGGAGCCCTGCGACTTTTGGCTTTTCCCAAAACTGAAGTTTTCCCAAAACTTTCACCTTTGAAAGAGAAGAGATTTCAGACCGTCAATGAGATTCAAGAAAATATAATACAATGAGGCAGCTGATGACGATTCCAGCAAAGGATTTTTTGAGCAGTGGAAGGGATGCTGGGAAAACTGTGTGAGGTCCCAAGATGCCTACTTTGAAGGGGACTGAGGCATCATTGTCCTATGTACAACGTTTCTTATATCTTGTATCTTTTTCAATAAATGTCTCTATTTTTCATATTACATGGCTGGATACTTTCCGGACGGACCTCCTATATGTGCAATGGGATATTGTTCAGCCACATAAAAAGGAAGAAAATTCCGAGATATGCTACTGTACGGATGACCCTTGTCAGGAAAGGACAAATATTATATGTTTCCACTTATATGAGGTTCTTAGAGTTATCGAAATCGCAGACAGAAAGGATAATAGAATGGTGGTTGCCAGGGGAGTGTGTAGGGTAGGGAATGGGGACGTTATTGTTGAACACTTTGACTGCCACACTAGAAAAATATTTTTTCCCAGGACCACAGTGTTTTATTAAAATAAAATGATCCTTTCTAACTGGTTATTTTTTATTGTTTTCTGTGTGTGAGTTATATGCAATGCAATCCAGGTTTTTAAAATTAAATTGTCA